TAGGATTTAATATATCGCGGGAGGGAATCCGGATGGACCCAAAAAAGCTTTCTACCATCTTGGATTGGCCATATCCAGAAACGCTCAAGGAACTTCAACGATTTTTGGGGTTTTCAAATTTTTATCGAAGATTTATTCCGAAGTTTTCTGATCTAGCAGCTCCTCTCACGGATCTAACTAGGAATGGCGCGTGCACTACTCAGAGTCTCGGTAAGAAGAATCCAAAAATTTCATTCTCTGTTTTAAAAAAGTGCTTTTCAAAGGCCCCGCTTCTCCGACATTTTGATTTTAAGCTTCCTAGAATAATTCATGTAGACAGCTCGGGGTACGCTATTGCGGCGGTTTTAAGTCAACCAGGTTCAAATGGGAAGCTTCACCCGGTGAGTTTTTACTCTAGGAAACTTTCGGATCGAGAACGGGGATGGCCCATTTTTGATTTAGAGCTATTAGCGGTTGTTACGGCGTTTGAGGAATGGCGCGCATGGTTAATGGGTACGAATGAACCAATCAAGGTTTTCTCTGATCATTCTAATCTGCGCTATTTTCGTACGGCTAAAAAGCTTTCACCCAAGCAGGCTAGATGGGCTTCATTTTTAGATGAATTTAATTTCGAGATCTACCACATTTCTGGAAAGCGTAATCCAGCCGATGGTCCAAGCAGGCGTCCGGATTACACTTCTGGACAACTAAGAAATTCCCCAACGGAGACGATAGCAAAACGGCTGGTATCTGAGGACGTTAACGATATGGTTCCATCAGAAGCAGAGAAAGGAACAGCCAAATTTGATTTGTTTTTTCAGAAACCCACAGATGAATTGATATCTTATCTGAAGCGATCTTACCCTGATCTAAGTGAAGAAGAGAAGGAAGATCTGTGCTTGTTCCAGGACTTGTATTGGCATCAAGACCGAATATATGTTCCGACAACCATGAGAACTAGGATTATTCAATTATCACACGATTCTCCTTCGGCTGGTCATCCTGGAATTGCGCGAACTCTAGCTCTGTTGACGCGAACATTTTCCTGGCCGGGAGTACGGAAGGACGTGATTAAATTTGTTAAGTCTTGCGATTCATGCCAAAGGGTTAAGGCTAGGCACCAAAGGCCTGAAGGGCAACTAAACTCATTATCAATTCCAGAAAAGCCGTGGAGTAAGGTCGGAATCGACTTCATTGTCAAACTACCGGACTCTGGAGGATTTGATTCAATCATGGTGGTAATTGATCTATTGAGTAAAATGACTCACTTTATCCCTTGCAAGGAAACGTACTCAGCAGCCCAGGTCGCAAATTTGTTTCGAACAAACGTGGTAAAGCTTCATGGATTACCTCAGAAGATCATTTCTGATAGGGGATCAATTTTTGTAAGTAAGTTTTGGGACAGTCTGATGAATTCATTACAAATTAAGAGTGGATATTCTAGCGCTTATCACCCCCAGACGGATGGACAAACAGAGCGTATGAACCAGGTTTTAGAGGATTACCTCCGTCACTTTTGTTCCTTCTATCAGGATAATTGGGATAAGATCTTGGACTTAGCTGAGTTTGCAATTAATAACTCAGATTCGGCGTCGCTAGGAGTCTCCCCATTTTTCTTTTCTTACGGGTTCCACCCCAAGTTCAGTGTACTGACAGATAGTTCAGGTATTAAGCCAGCGGATGAATTTGCGGAGGATTTACAATTCATTCAGGAACGAGCAGTCGAGTGTTTAACTCAGGCTCAGCAACGTCAAGCTCGGTACTATGACTTAAGAAGGCGGGAAGCCTCGCATTATGAAGAGGGAGATCAGGTTCTTTTATTACGAAAGTTTATTTCGACCAGGAGACTAAACTCGAAATTGGATTACAGGTTTTTAGGCCCATTTAGGGTCATTGAAATGGTAGGAAAGAACGCGGTAAGATTAGATATTTCTAAGGATTACCCAAAGATTCATCCGGTTTTCAATGTTTCTTTGGTAGTAAGATACAACAATCCTAGGGAGGTTCAGGGTCGCGGGACGGTTCAGGGCATTAGGGAGCAATACTATAAGGAAGGTAGAATTATTGATTGGTCTAAACTAGCAATGATTCTCGACGCCAGGCAGGTAAGTAAGGGTAAGTTTGATTATTTGCTTCGCTGGCGCAACTCTACTCCGGGAGAGGATACTTGGGTAGCTGACAGACACATCCCAAGTTATTTGCACAGTTATTTGGACACTTTTAGGAACAACCTGGTGGCTTTGTATAAATCCAAGAAAAAAGGATATAATAGGCAAGGCATATTTGTAACGAGCAAGCACAGCACACAGCAAAATTCAAAAAATTATTATGAAAACGAATTCAGTTAAGAAAGATGGTTCGATGACGTAGGGAAAGGATTCAAAAAAGAAAAAGATTGGCATTCTTATAAGGAGAAAAAGAAAATGGCTCGACACTTTAAATAGTATCAAAGAAGAGAATTTTCAAGAAAAGATTCAAGAAAATAACTATTGGAAAAGAAAAAAGATTTATATCAATCTGTAAAGATTTATTAAAGAAGAAAAAAGATTTTTATATCAATCTGTAAGAAGATAGCGATAACAGAATCAGTAAATAGCGCATTTGGGTTGTAGCTAGGTAAAAATATTTAAAGACTTGTACTCGCCTCGAGGGTTTCTTTCCTCATGGCAAAATCTTTGTTTTATCCTTAAACAACGAATTTCCGTAATCAAAATCCAGAAACCTTTGAATCCCAAAGAAAAGGGTTAGCCAGCTCGATCCGTTTGCGTGTACTGTGGATCACCTCCTCGTTTGCTTGTCTTGGGCTGCTGTGACCTTATTTGTTACACATCTTTACTGGAAAAACTGAGTACCTGGTGTAAGCACATTATAATAGTCTGTGAAATATATTGTGTAAGCATTCAGCTTAGGAAGTAGCGCGGATGACTGAAAGAACCACAGCAGGATTAATGAAGACGTTGAACAATCTCACCTGATCTGTTGAAGAAAAAGAAAGTGATATGTACATAGCGAGTGAAAAACAAAAACAAAAACGAAGACTGCAGTTTTGGAAATTGGATTAAAGGCGATCGAACGAGGTTGTTGGATGGATTGATTGTGGCTGACTTGAACAGCCGTTGTTCGATTGGCCGATCGATCATTCAGAGATTTGCACTGCATAATAACCGATCATCGATTTTCACATGGAGAGAAGCATCCTGAAGCATCCTGCTGAAGATCTGATTTATCCAGCAAAACCCAGCATGAAGACCGACCTTCTCGAGGAAGTTTCTACGCCCGGACTCAATGTTCTTTCTTTCCCCTGCAGCCTGCTGTTGAAAACGCGAATTCCTATCATGCGTCTATGTATCCGAAAGAAGACATTCTCTAGCATATGGACACGTGGCGAAAAATGAGTTCCTATATATTGTCGATTTCCCGACCTGTCGGCATGGAAATAGTGGGGGTTCTAGCTCATCGGTAGAGCGCTCGCTTAGCATCATTCAATGCCGGTTGCGAGAGGTACAGGATTCGACTCCCTGGTACTCCATCTCAATTTCTTTTTGGCTCACGAGGGCAGTTTATCCAGTTGGTTTGCCAAATGTCATATGCCATTATCCAATTTATTTTGTTGCTGGAAGAAAAACCTCAGACACCAAGATGTCACACTAGATAACCCTTATTAATGTGCACTTCAGTATAGAACTCTAGATCTTTTACTGAAAACCTTTTTCTGTCAGAGGTGCGGTTGGACCATTAATGCTGCATAGGGTTTCCTCGATTAAATTAGAACTTCTGGATTGCTAGAAGCTAGTAGAACTCCCTGTGCTATGGTAAGACTGATGATTTGCAACAAAGAGCAATTCCTCCAAGTTGATATCTCTCTTCAGCCAAATTCATGGAGATCAGCACCAGTAGACACATATTAATACACAGAATTCCAAGGTGATGTTTCAACAATCAATGAACACCAATCAACAATCCTGCCAGCCAATTCAGACTAGAGATCACATTGATGAATCATCTGCATCCTGGAAGAGTTTCAAATTCCACAAGCTCAATCAACCACCAATCCCTTTGTGACATCTACATAGATGCTTTTTGATGGAGAGAAATCAATTTCAAACTGATCAAATTGTGTCAACCAGAAATTAAACCAAAACAAGATTTAATAGAATGTAGGGACTGGAAGACCAAGACTCACCCGAGCCTTGCCCTTTGTTGTCATTCTATTGGCTCCAATCAGCCCATTGAATTTTTAAATGAATTGTGAGAAAAATGTCTAATTGGGAGTTCCTTGCTCTCAGAAACCTAAGAGTAAACTAGATTCTAAAGCTGCATTATAATGTCCTGATGGTTTCCTGATGGGATGTCTTTGGCCATTGTCTTATTTGTTTTTCTTTTCTTGTATGTTACAAGGAACACAAGGTAAACAGATTCACATCTGCTTCTTAGTGGGTGCATCACTGTTGTAGGGTTTGTTTCATGTTTTTGTGCCTTTTGACATTTTTTTAGGGGCTTGGAAAAACGACTCCTAAAAATTAGTCGACGACTCCCGTTTTGGTCGGGAGGTCGTCGAACGGGAGTCGTTCTTCCAATTCCCCCAAAAAAAAGGGGAGTCATCGTCCTAATTTCAATGGCGATTTTTTAATTTTTTTTATTAAAAAAATGGGAGTCGCCCGCCTAAAGGGCGGGAGTCGTTGTACCAATTTAGCCAAATATTTTTTATTTTTTTTCATTAAAAAAATTGGGAGTCGTCCACCTAAAGGGCGGGAGTTGGCCTCCCAAATTTGATCTTTAATTTTTTTGATTTTTTTTTTTTTCGTCTCGCAGGAGTCGTTGGAAAATACCTAGGAGTCGGCTGGGGAGAAGAAACCTTGTTTCTTCTCCCACGCAGGAGTCGCCGCTCCACACCCATATCCTCCCCTCCTCCGATATCCACTCCCCCCACCCACCGACTCCCCACCCACCCACCCAACCACCCAACCAACTACCCATACCAACAAACCACCCAAGCAACCAACAACCCAACCAACCACATCATGTCCAACCCCACCATCCCCGCTCACCCCACCGAAGCGCTCGCGCCACCAAAGGAAGCGAAGATGGAAGAAGAGGCCCCAAAGAAGAGGATTCAACCAGTCCGGAAAGGGGCCACCAAACCGGTTGTTGTGGTCCCCAAGACGAAAGGGAAAGAAACCGCACCTGGATCCTCCCCACCCTCATCCCCGGTTCAAGCCAACAAGAAGAAGCTCAAGATCAATTCCTCCGCTGATTCTTCCGTGCCCTCGTCCCCCAACCCTCCCACCGAACCAGCCCCCTTGGTGCACCTAGAACCTCCGCCACCTCCAGCAAACCCCCATCTACCAATCCCCCCGTCCGATCTCGATTACGTTGATTATTTACCAAAAATCATTCAACCTGAAGTCTGGGATGTTGTGGATGTTTGATCAGATGGTCACTGCGGATTTCGGGCTGTGGCTTACGGGTTGGGCCGTGGGCAGGGAGATTATATGGCGGTACGATACGAGATGTATAACGAAATTGTCCGTCGGCCTGATTGGTATCGGAAAGTGTTCCACAAAGTTGAGGGGGCTTTGGCTTGTATCATGGTTGATTCACCAGCACCTTGTCCAAAGGCTCATTGGATGTCCATGCCTTCAATGGGTGAGGTAATGGCAAATGCTTTTGAGAGGCCTGTTTTCTTTTTTTCTACCACCTTTTGCCAGACCTGCCTCCCTTCTTTCTGCCCCCCCAATTTTTATTGCTTTTCTATATGAATTTTCTCATTTTGTCCCTTTGCAGTTACATAACCCAAGACTCTTTCCGGCCCCTCAGCTCATGAAGGGTTGGAAAGAAAAGGCATCAGAAGAGGCTTGGGGATGGGAAGCCATCTTTTCTGATTGTTTCCAATTGACTGTAGAGAGGAAAATTGAAAATCCAATGAAACACTACTAGGGTTTTTTTTAGGGGGTTGG